TCTCGGGCAGTAACAGCCGACATCGGAAAGGAAGGCGGTCGGGCCAGCCGGTGGGCCGGAGGCCGCAGTGTAACCGCGGGGTGTTATAAACTAACTTTGTGCCATTACACTTGGAAGCTTCACTGAAGTGCAGGAATCCCTAGACAAAGATAACATCAGAGCAGACTCCAGAAGAAACAGAAAGCCTGAATGATGAGTGGTTCTAAGTTGTTAAAGAAAATGAAGCCATCAGTAGTCAAAACATTCTTAAAATAAAGCTCCAGGCTTTGCTGGTGAGTTCTATCAAATGCTTAGAAAATAAGTCATTCTGTTATTTTATAAAATCCTCTAGATAAGGGAGGAGGAGAATAATGGAGGAAGAGAACATACTCTTGAACTCAGTTTTCTCAAAGGTGCAAACCTTTATTTATATCCAAATCTAGAAAAAAGCGATATAAGGAAGTTACCAGCCATCTCACTTACCAACACATGAAAGCCGTGTACCGAATATTAGAAAGCCAAGAACAGTAACATGTACGGAGGGTAGTGAGGATGGTGAGTTTATCCCAAGAACTGAAAGTCAGTTTCACATTAGAAAATCAGTTGATAGTTCACCGCATTAATAAATAAAAGGATAAAATGGTAAATAAAAGGATAAAAATCCACAATCATTCTCAACAGGCATAGAAAAGATATTTAATAAGATTCAGCATCCATTTATGCTTTTAAAGAGCAATTAGCAAACTACAAATAGAGGAGTTTTTTTAACCGCATAAAGCATATCTCTAGAAAACCTTCAGCGCACATCATGCCTGCTGGTGACTCCACTGAAATTATGTTTGAGTTCAGGAGACAGAATTATTTCTACTGAGCATTATAGTAAGGCTTTGGCTAACTCAGTAAAGTGAGAAAAAAATAAAAGATACAGGGATTTGAAAGGAAGAAACAACTCTATTTATTTGTGGATGATACGAGTATGTACTTAGAAAATCCAGAAGAATCTGCAGACAAGTCATTACAACTACTGAAGGGCCTTCCTAAGTTTGCTGGATGCAGAATCAACAAGCAGAAATCTTTTATGTCATATAAGCAATAACCATTTAGAAAATGAACATTTTAAAATATTCTATTTACAAAAGTATAAAAAGAATAAGTACCTAATTACCTGACAAAAATTGTACATGATGACTACCTGTAAAATGTATAAAACATTTTTACGGACACTAAAAATTTGTAATAAAGGAGAACTATGCCATGTTTGTGAGTTAGAAAACCCAATATTGTAAAGATATCACCTCTCTTCAAATTAACTTATAAATGTAGTGCAATCCCAGTCAGAATCTCAGAAAGATAATTGTGGAACCTGAAGGGCCAGTTCCAAAATGCTTATAGAAATGCGGAGAGCCAAAGTACCCAAAGCGTTCTTGAAGAACGAGACGGGGGTTTAACTTACTCTGCCAGGTACCACAGTGTATTGTCAACCTGCAGTAAATCAGCCGTGGTGCTCTCCCGGAGCTGGGAAGTAGACGGGGGAACGGATTAGAGAGCCGGGGAAAGGACCCCGCAGCACACCGGATTTACAACAGAAGTGTCTCTGCGGAAAGGCAGGGGAAGGCGGCCTTTGTCCTTAATAGTGCCGGGACGATGGGGTTTCCAGATGGACAAAAATCACCTTTGACCCATATCTCACAGCACACAAACAAATTCGCTTCAGGTAGACCCTGAACCTAGATGGGAAAGACTAGACCGGAGAGCTTTTGGAGGTACCACTGGAGAACATCAGCTGCCAGAGAGCCCGCAGGGACTGGGGACGGTGACCGGCCTGGCGTCTTGGCCGAAGCACATCCATCCCGGAGGGGCTGAGGCTTGGCCGGACCTGAGAAGTCCGTTTCTTCGTCGTTGCCTCGGCTGCCGCCGCAGCTGACATCAGAAAACCTGTTCTCACCCGTGAGGCAGGACCCTTCCTGTGGGCTCGGGAGGGCGGCTCCTCTGAGCCCCTAAGCCGGGAGGTCTCGGCAGGGCAGTGAGAAACCCTACCTCTCTCCACTCCAAAGACTGCTTTTTGTGAGTCCACCCCTGTTTTACGTCTCTCGGGTTTTGTTAAGTCCAGGAACACTTACAGGAGTAAAAAGACATGACATTAGAACTACCCTAAAGATAGAGGCAGAACTGTGAATTAGAAGGTGCACAATCTTGCTCGCTTCGGCAGCACATGTACTGAAGGTGCAGGACCAATGCTTAATTGTAGCGCCACTCCAGATGCTGAAAATGTGTTCATTGTTTCTACCTCTCATGTTCTTAAAGCACACTGCGTGATATCTGTCATTGTTGAGAGCAAAGGAAAAGTGTACAGGAAGTGGCTGAACGTTTAGCTGACAGATGTGACCAAGGACAAACAAGAAGACATGGCTAGGAAGAAGAGAGTCTTGCACAGTTTCCCCTCCAATCCCTTTTCTCCATCAAGAAGAGTGACATGAAGGCAGAATCACAAATGCTACCCGATCAAGTCCAACATTCGGGCAACGCCATCAAACCAGTTACAGTGAAAAGGACCAGGAGACTGAGTCTACAGGAACCCACCTCTGCTCTCGGGTCCCCGGGTCCCCGTGGGGCAAGCGCAGTCAGCCCGTCCCGCAGGAGGAGTGTGAGGGTCTGAGGGAGATGGCGAGTCCCCGATGCCCGCGGTCACCGCAACAGACTCACACCGAAGTTGAACACAAACGAAGGCTTAAGCCCATGTTGCAGAGCAGATGAGAGGTAGCGCTATCTGATTTCCAAAACATTTTGAGGGAAAAAAGATCTTCGTGATTTGAGGTTAAAGAAGGATTTCTTGAACGAGACACCAAGAGCAATAACTATAAAGAAAAAAACTGTTGAACTCAACTGTATCAAACTGAAGAACTTACGTCCATTATGAAAAAAGCAAGACTAACAAGAGTTCAGCCGGCAGGCCAAGGACCGCCACGAGACTGGTGTGCAGGATAAAAAACAACTCCTGTGATTCAATAAGAAAGATAAAAAGACAGCCAGCTTCATAGAAAAGTGTGTCAGAGACTTGCGTAAGCACCGCAGAGGATGTAGAAAATGTCCAATCAACATGTAAAAGCTGTTCAACACATTAAAGCCCCGGGGAAATACACCAGGTCAGCCATAATGACAAAGTTTGCCGGTGCCAGACGTGATGAAGACAGGTGAAAACAGGAACCCTCGTGTCTGCCGTTATGAGGGTAAATTGCCACAACTGCTTTGGAAAGCAGTTCGGGTCATCTGCTGAAGCTGAACATGCGGGTAGCATCTTTTTACTTGGAGCTGATACAGTCAACGGAAATACATGCACATGTGCACCAAGAAACATGTATAAAAATGTTCATGGCAGCGTACATACAGTGTATCTGGGCTGAAAACAACCCAGATGTCTGTCAGTAAAACAAATAAGTTGAGGTATGTTCATACAATAGACAAGTATATTGCAAAGACAATCTGTTGCTACATGTATCAACATGGATGACTCTTATAGACAGTGTTGAGTCAGGGAAGTAAAAGGTGAAAACAGACTGCATGATTGCATCCAGATAAACTTCATTAACAGAAGGAAGTTAGCTGTCGTATTCAGGGATGTGCATCAGTCTGCTGGAACTGCCGTAACCAAATGCCACAGACCGTGGGCTTGGAAGTCCCAGATCAGCCCGCCTGCCTGCAGGGCCGGCTTCCCGTGAGACTTCTCCCCGGCCTGCGGATGGCCGCCTTCCCCCTGGCGTCCCCCAGGCCAGCAGACCTCTTCTTTGTGCAAGCCCGGGAAGAGAGCGCTGCTCTCTGGGGCCTCTCTTTATCTGGGTACCTGGTCCTATCAGCCCCACCTTACGACTTCATTTAACCTTGACTATCTGTCTCTACGCACAGTCACACTGGAGCCCTGGCCAGGTCGCTCGGTCCGGTTAGAACGTCAGCCAGATGCACCAAGGTAGATTTGGAGGAGATACAGTTCATTCTGTGGTGGGATGAAAGGTATTCATGTCAAGCTAAACAAGGAAGTGATTATAATGTTAAGGGAAGGTAAACATTGACATAAAGCAAAGTGAGGAAGGCAGGACAGAGTTGTGACTGGAAGGTGCCCTGCTGGCCGTGTTTTGTTTCTTGGCTCACATAACTTCCTTTTATAAACTATTCGTTAAATGTCCCGTTGAAATTTTGTATGCTTTTCAGTATGGGATACTTCACAGTTTTCATTTTTTTTTTTAACAGCGAAACCATTGCACTCATTCTCATTTCCTCCTCTGCAGTCGGTCAACATCGATGATTTATTCCATTTTTGTTACTCTTTTGTTGACTTCTGTTCCCCATAGAAATTGTTTTTATATATATGATAATTATTTAAATATGAATACACTAAATAATGGTAAATTTTTAAATGCTTAGTAATACTCTTTTTTCTCCTGGAGTATTATTAGAATTCGTTTCCTGATATTCTGAGAAATTGAGCTGAGATTATATTTTTGTCCTTAACCATTTTCCCGTGAGGAAGAGATTTCCAGCCTCACTTGTCCTTGGCCCATTCAAGATTCTCCTCGGTTGGTAGGATTAAGGAATAGAGGAGCTTTTCAAAAGTGGACCGTCTCCAAATACAATCAATTGTGTTAAATGCTGACTAGGAATAGAGTTTTTATGTGGCTCTACTTGATTCCATTAGTGAAATCAAGTTGTTGTAACTACTGAAATGGTGTATTAATTTCTACTTTCATCCATTTTTCAAGGAGTTATGAGTTGCTGTCACAATCAAGAAGTTACCCAGGCATCTGATTTCCTTCTCACCCTGAAAATTAACCCCAACAATTCGAAGGGTATCCTTATATCCCACCCAGATTGGCTGTGGGCTGAGGCAACAGTGGGTGGCGATTCCTAGTGTGAACAGATCTTTAGACACATTCTGGAACCCAGGCGTTTGCCACTACTGTATAAAAGAAACAGTAAAGCAGTAGGTTATCCCTTAAGAAACTTCTCATCAAAATATGTTTTTCTTGTAGATAATCCGCGCCTGTCTGCTCTTCCCAACAATTGAGCGAATGTCCGAGACGCCCAATGGCAGGATCGCCACCCCGCTCCTGTGCTGGCTTCGGTATGCTCTCTACGCTTCCAGCTACTTGCTCCTGAAACCATGTCCAGAGACACTCAAGTCCTGGCTCATCAGAATGGCCCTTCAGAGGATGAACTTGCAGAGTGAACATTCACTGCTGAGCGTGCTGGAGCCCTTCTGCCTTGGTAAGTGAGCACGTTCAAACTCGTACGGGTCGTACTCTTCTATCGGAAGGCACTAGGAGAATAACTCAGACAGTGGGTGAACAGCAAGCGAGGACTTATTTGTTGGATTTTTTTTCCTTCCAAAAGTTTAAAATGAGAACTAAAATGAGAATAGAGTGGGGGCAGTTTTGTTTGGCAGATAGAAAAGGCTCTTCAGGCTTTACTTTTAAAGCTTATCCTGCCACTTCTCCACTCGGGACGCAGAAGGGTGGGAGGAATTCTTGCATGGCGCATGCGGAACCCTAGCAGGGCCCAGGTGTGCCCCATAGTCCAGAGGGAGAAGTTTGCAGAACCAGCCCAAGCGAACCAGGCCCACTGTTCCCGTAGAGGGGACAGGCTCCGCTTTGATTTTCCTCCTTAAATGGTGTCAGAAGGGGTTAGATTTTAAAAGTGGTAGATAATAGACATGGTCCTGTAACGCTGGTAATATCTCTGCTCTGCTGATTCTAGTTTCCACATGCGCCAGGGTATGTTTCTGCTATTTTACTCTTGGTTTCAAATGATGTTTTTAAATGTACCCTATCTTTTTCATTAATATTTTATAAATGATTTTCATAAAATAATCCTACTTTCTTCATCTATAAGATGGGGATAATAATATCCCACACTTCAAGAGATTATTCTAGGATTAACTGTAATTATGCAAATTGTCTACCTACTATTTTATTTATAAGAGGCCTTCAATGAGTAATATAACAACAGTTGCAGTAGTAGCTAAAGATACCATTCTAAGAACTATAACCTGTATTGCTCAGAACTAACGAGGTTTAGTGTTTGATACCGTTCCCATTTTACAGATGGAGATACTGAGCTACAGAACAGTTGTGTCTCTGTACACAGCAGAAGTGCACGTATTTGCCCAGAATCACACAGCTAGTGCGTAGTGTTCAAACTCGGGCCATCAGCCACTGTGCTGAGCGTCCTTTTACCGTAGCCGCTGCACTGTCTCTTTGCCCCCGAGAACCGTAAAGGTAGGACCCTGCATAAAGTGTGTCACACTCACCTGCGCTGCGTGCCGTGAGATCACGTGCACAGTGAGTCCAGACCCAAGTCACCACCCTCCCCACCTGACGCTTGTACAGCCTGCATACTGTGTGGGGGGTGTTTTTCCAACTGTGTAGCGGCAATCACAGTCATCACAGATAGAAATGCAGTACATTTTCTGTGTCTGTGGGCTCTTTTTCCCTCCCGTGTTCTTCCCACCCCTGTTCTTTATCCCAGCCTTAGCATAGCAAGAGGAAGATAAGACAGTGAGAAGGGAGGCAAGGTTCGGCACAGTCACAGAAATCACCCAAGATCAAAGTTGGAGACACCCCCGGAAGACCGTCTGGCCCGGCCCCTCATCTTTCCCTCCTGTCACAGTGAAGATAGAGGTGGCCTAGGAAGTGAGAATGGCACTCACTGCAAGCTACGAGCCCTTGACTCTCACTCGGTTTTGCCCCAGACTCACTCTGTGGCCTCAGTTTCGTCCTTTCCCCTGTCTGGTTCTTGGTCATTGGTCAGGTCAGCAGTAGACTAGATGACCTCTGAGGGCCAGTACACCATTGGAAAGTATTCGAGAGCAAACAGAAATCACTTGAAATTCGGGCAAACATGTACAAAATGACTCTACTTACACTTCAGTAACTCATCTTACTTCCCCTTACATTTTTTTTTCTTTTTTGACATTTTTCTTTGTACTCTGTAGAAAGACTTTTAAAAGCATTCCCGCCCTGGCTGGCGTAGTTCAGTGGATTGAGTGCAGGCTGCGAACCAGGCATCCCAGGTTCGATTCCCAGTCAGGGCACATGCCTAGGTTGCCCAGCAACTGCACACTGATGTTTTTCTCTCTCTTTCTCTCTCCCTTCCCTCTCTAAAAATAAGTAAATAAAATCTTAAAAAAAAAAAAAGGATCTCACCCTTTCATATAATTAAAAAAAAAAAAAAAGAAGCATTCCCCAATTGGGGATTCCATTTTCCTCCAAGTACTTCTGCTTCCAAAAACATGAGGTAGATATACTTTTCCCTGTTGCTCCTGCTAGGTACAAAAACACCATGTATATTATATGTAAAATAAACATAAGGAGATGCTGAAAGGTGGTGAAGAAAACAGACAGTAGGGACCCTGGAGCCAAGGAACAACAGAGTGGAGCATTGTCTGGGTTTTCTTTCTACCACGCATGCACTAGATTTGCAGCCAGAACCCAGAAACACCCGTGGGTGCGGGTGCAGACCCAAAACAGCCCCAGCAACAGCCAAAGAACCAAAAAAAATGGCAATCTTTCTAAAAGATACTTTTAGGTAGCTGTTCTAATCTAGACAAGCACCACAGTAAAAACTGTGGCCTTGTTCTCACCCACGCCAACAAAGGCCAAGCAGGAACTCTGGACTAAACCCCCGACTTAGCGGCAGTGAGGCGCCCGCTCTTTCCCCACCAGAGTGGTGTCAGGAGGAGACGGAGTGGAGTGTGGGGACTTTCACCATTGCCCCACAGCCGTGGGGCCGCCGCCCCTCTGTGGGGTCAGTGGGGGTCATGTGAGAAGTAGCAAGGCAGTCTTCCACCCCTCCCCCCGGCCAGGATGGGAGGTAACAGCGGGAGACGCGTGGGGAGTCAGAATTCCTACCCCGGCTGCGTAGCAGAGGAGCCTTTCCACCCTCGGGTGGCAGCAGATCGAGCGGAGGACTCAGATTCCCACCCCACCCGCAAGTCTGAGAAGTGTCAGCAAAGGAAAAAGCTAAAACAGAAAGTTTAAGTAAGATCTGAGTATCATAACATAATACCCAAAATGTCCATGTTTCAGTTAGAATTCTTGTCATACGAAGAAGCCAGAAAATTTCAACTAGAATTAAGAAAGACAGTGGATGCCAACACCAAAATGACAGAGATGTCAGGATTATCTGACAAAGATTTTAAAGCAGCCATTATAAAAATGCTTTACCGAGCAATTACTGAATATGTTTGAAACTAATGAAAAATAGAAAGTGTCAGGAAAGAGATCTGGAAATTTTAGAACTAAGAAGTACAGTAACTAAAAAATGAGTAATTCTAAAAATTAAAAATGGATAGGCTCAACAGGAAAGTGGCAGGGATAGAGAAAGGAATTGGTAAACATAAGGATAGAACAATAGAACTAGAAATTTCCCAAATTTGGCAAAAGGCATACATCTGCAGATTCTAGAAGCTGGATGAACCCCAAACAGGGAAAAACCCCAAGAAAACCGCACAACACATCATCATTAAATTTTTGAAAGCTAAAACAAAGAAAATGTCTTGAAAGCAGCCAGAGAGAAATGATACATTAATTACAGAGGAACATCTATTTGAGTGGCAGCTGGTTTCTCATCAGAATCTATAGAGGCCAAAAGAAATGACACATATGTTTCAAGTGCATAAAGAAAAGAACTGTCAATACTGAATTATATGTCCAGTAAAAGTATCCTTCAGGGAAAAAAGAGGAAATTAAGACATTCTCCAACAAAGGAAAACCAAGGGATTGGTAATCACCAGATGTATCATAAAAAATCGCTGTAAGAAGTTCTCTAAACATAAAGGAGATGACAAAAGAAGGAATCTTGAAACATTAAGAAAAAAACAAAAGAGAGGAATCACATTTTTCTTCTCTTCTTGAGATTTCTAAATTATGTTTAACAGTTGAAGCAAAAATTATAACACTGATATGGTTCTAAGTGTACCCAGAAGCATCTAAGACAATTATATTCTGAATAGGGGAGGGTACAGGAACAGAAAGGAAGTAAGGTTTCTACATTTGCTTGAAGTGGTAAGATGCCAATACCAGTAGATGTACATGTGTGTGTACATACATATAAAGTGTAATACCTAGAATAACCACTTTACAGTCTGTATAAAGAGATACTCAAAAACACCACAGGTAAATCAAAATGGAATTATAAAACATATCCAGTAATACACAGGAAGACAAAAGAAAGAACACAGAGAAACAAAAAACATGAAACAAATAATGGCGTACAAGCTCTAATATACCAATAATTACATTAACTGTAAAAGTCCAAAATACACCAATTAGAAGACAAAGATTGGCCAAGTGGATTTAAAAACATAACTATATACTGTGTTCAGAAAACTCAGTTCAAGTAAAAGTGTATATCTAGACTGAAAGTAAGAGAATGAGAAAATATGTATCACGCAAACACTGATCCAAAGGAACCAGGAGTGATTGTACTGATGCAGGTATCCCCTGCTTTCCAAAAGTTTGCCTGACACCCCTTCACTTTTACGAAATACGTAATTGTTACCTGTTTTCACTAACCGGAAGAAATCCAAAGAGGATTTTCACTTAAAACAACAACAGCAACAACAAAGGCATTACCGCACTAGTGTGGGTCTTTCGTAAAAGCCAAGTGGGATAACGTGAACTTTTGGAAAGCAGGAGATACTCTTCGCTTGACGCCATTTGGCTTAGGGAAGGTTTCCTAGGAATGCTCTGCTCTCCGACAGTAGGGGAAGCCTCTCTCAGATACTAGACTCCAGAACAAAGGAAATTACAGAGACAAAGAGGGACACTGCAGAATAGTAACAGAAGGCTCCCTCTGTCGGGAGGATACAGCAGTCCTAAATGTGTGCACACCAAACAGGACTGCCGCAAAGCATCTGAAGCACAAACGGACAGAACTGACAGTGCTAATGAACGAATCTACAAATATATATAGTAGATATATAGGGTTGGATACTTAAATACCCCTCTCTCAGCGATTGATGGAGCAAGGCAGAAAGTTAACAAGGATATAGAAGAACTCCATGATATTATCAACCACCAGGATATAATAGACATTTATAGAACACTCTATAAACATCTGGGTTTCTATAGGCATTGGGTAGGCAACTACCTGTACTTTCCTATGCCTCCTCCGAAATATTTCCTAAGCCCAAATCCAGACAGGGGATGTAAGAAAGTTTTGCTTGTTTTTCTACGTGTATTTAATGACCTATACACAGTCATCTG